TTAATTTCAATACCCTTTGGAATTCCCAAATTGATTTCAATACCCTTTGATATTCCCAAATTAATTTCAAAACCCTTTGGAATTCCCAAATTAATTTCAATACCCATTGAAATTCTCAAATTTATTTCAATAACCGTTGGAATTCTTTGGTGTTTTTAAGAGAAATAATTTTCAGAATGTGGTTCATATAGTGTCTAAGTTCAATACATGAATTTAGTAACATTCCATAATGTGACCACATCCATTGAACTCTGTGATGGGCAGAGTTCTATAAATTAGATGTGATGCTTACTGTTTTGGTCCCTAAGCTTGCTCCTCTTCATTTTATTTGCACCATCGGGTTGTGAGTGAGAAAAGCTTAGAAGATCTATAACAGAAAATTTGTCGTGTGAGTTGTGAGTGTCGACTCTGTTCGTTTAAGTTATGGCTGGAGGTATGTATGATCCTATCTTGTTTCCGCTAATTGATTTAAAAATTAATTTTGTAAATCGAATATGGTATTTAGAATCTCTTACAATAAGTTTACCAACGGTTTATTTATGACAAAGTTGATGTAGTAAAAATATTTGTCGGCAATTAAATTACCGACAGATTTAACAACAACTTATATTAACCGACAGTTAACCGACGCACCATAACTATTGTTATAAATCCAAAAATATGTCATTTTTAATCGTGGCATGACCGTCGGTTATACAACCAACGAAAATGTTCATAGAAAAAGTGTTTCAGTTCGATTGGAAAAATATTGCGGTTATGTCGGTAAATTGTCTCCAAACAATCAGTTAACTATGAGAATTTACCGACGGTTCTGTCTGTAGAAAAATTGATTGTTTGGATGTTGTTTGTTCAATAGATCATCAGAAAACCATCCTTTATTCGACAAATCTTTGATAAACAAAACTTGTAAATCAAAAAAAAAAAAAAAAACCACTTTCAACGCTACGATCTGCACACGTGCAATCATAATAAATCAATCAAAACACATCACAACATGGTTTTGGTTAAAACAAACAAAATGCACAACTACATAATAAAACAAATGTTCGCTACCAATAAATTGTTTAATATGCAACCAAATAAAAAAAAAGAATAATCCACTACTCATCATCATCATTCTCACCCTCATCCTGCGGACCTGCACCAACTTCTTCCCTTTTGGTAGTTCTAAACGCATCAATGCTTCGATCTCTGCACTCATCTTATATCTCAAGGCGACTATGTAGGTAGCAACCTAAGCATCAATCTGACGACACATCTCCTTCTTTTGTGAAATGGAAGTGGATGCAGAAAATGTGCTAGAGGCCGAGCAGGCATCATAGGTTGGCAACCGGGAACCCAACCTGTATACCCTACCTTTCTTCTTCCTGTCGATAGACTCCCTCCAGAGGTCGTTCTCAGAAGGATTGTGAGATATGTTTGAACCACAGGTCAACTGATAAGATCGGCTCTCCTCGAGCCTCAAGAAAGCCTCATACAAAATATATGATTAGTGAAATGAGAGACTAAATAAATTTTGATATTTATTTAAATTTTATACTTATTAATCTTGTGAATTATCTAGTCGCCTCTGATCTGTTGTTCACACAGGTTTGATCCGACCGCCACTTGTGGGTGTGCTCGCATAACTTTGCAGTAATTGGCTCCCATCATTTCTCCAGTGTCTATTAGTGTAACGAAATACTTAGCTTCCATTATTTACGTGCATGTTTGTTTGGCTTTCCTGCACGAAAACATAATGTTTAACACCTAAAGTATAATTGTTCATTTATATCACTTAAATATTTCATGTCACATAAAAAAATACTGGCATTTCCACTTTTAAAATGTGAAATTAACCTTTCCATGCATAGGTAAAGTGGCTTGTATGTAAAAATTAAACTTTAGGTGTTATACATGTAAATACAAAAAAAATTAAGTGATATGTTGTAAATTCAATCGAGCAGTGCGGGTCAATCGGGCGGGCCAAGCACCGCTTATTTCCCAAATAAACTCGAAATTCTCAACCCGCGTCCGCTGTGAGGCTTTTCCCTCTCAAAGGCAAAAAATGGCGGTTCCTCTCACTTCCTAGGGTTTTAAACAATCGCGCGTCTGTGCTTCTAACCTCATCTTCCTCACCTCTCCTCAATCGGCAGCAGTATCGGCAAGTTTGTTTAGGTCAGGATCTCCAGAACGCTCGCTCATCCCGCGCTCCATCGTTTTCCATCTCTTAGGTTATATTTGTACTGAGCGGTTTTAACATATCCAGATCATGATATCGATCTTTCTTTTCTTTAATTTACCTGTTCTCCATTTTGTCTGAATTTTTATTCCATCTCGTTTTATTATTTTGCGAGGCAGGGGAAGAATGGCATCGGTTAACCTAACGAGTGGCGCGATTGCGAAGATATCGCAAGGGTTAGGGGACAAACTGCAGCCTGTTCTTCAAGTAGTGGAGATCCGGCTGGTGAATACCCAACAGAGCTCGGCGGAGAGGTACCGGATGCTTCTTTCTGACGGCGTACACCATCAGCAGGGGATGCTTGCGACGCAGATGAATGGGATTGTCAAGTCTGGGCAGCTGCAGAAAGGATCCATTGTTCAATTGAGCGAATTTATCTGCAACACCATCCAAAATCGGAGGTAGTTGTCCTTTTCGTGTTGTGCATTCGCTGTAGTTGATTCTTTGAATTTTCTTTTTGGATGCTTTGCTGCCAATCTGTTTGGATTGTGAAACGTTCGAGATTAGGAACTGTTTATACGAGGATATATGGTAATTCTCTTCACATTTGAACTGATTTTAATAATTCACGCGCATTATGGCCATTTACTAGAAGAGCAAGTATTTTAATAGAATCCGTATTAAGATAGAAACTCGACATTTTAACAATCCAGTGATAGATTTATAATTATGATCTGGGGAACTTGTTTATATTCTGTTAGAAATTTTTGGTAATAAACCTTGCATGAAAAATGAATTTATACGCATAGTTCAGGGTATATTATGCACATTTAAGAATACATAAATAGAAACTTGGGAAGGTGAGAGTTACTTCTCTATCCCTTGAGTTGAAAACATCCCTTCACGTCAGGAATTCCCATCACTGCAACTCCCAGGGGACTTTTTTCCTACCACAAGCATATCATGAATGATAATCACAAACCCAAACTCTTTTCAGAAGTCAAGAAAAGAAGAATATAAATGAAAATTCGTGAGGGAGAAAGTGTTTATTATTCATTTCGTAAAATAGTTGATTGATAGATAGTCATAAGAAGGTATTTCTTAGATGAAGGTGAAGAGTGGTCACACTCTTGTTAAAATTGATTGTTTGCAGAAGGATTAAAATAAAATAGACGAGCAATAGTATTTTTTTTAATTATTATATGAAAAGAAGTGTTCACTAACATGCATTAAATTGAGATTCTTTGAGCCTGTGCTTAGTAATGATATTCAAGTTATACTGTAAATCAATGGCGGAAATGTGTTATACCTTCAAATAAAGTCTTTATATGATATTCTACAATTGTTTTCACCATTGGGTTTAAAATGTGAGATATCCTTTTAATAGCTATGCAATGAGTTCAATTCTCGTGAGAATTAGCTTAAATCCCATAATCACCGCCTAATAATCGCTTTTATTAGGTGATTACTCCAAGCGTTTTTGTGATAGTGTAGACTTTGCGGGGTCTTGGAGACATTAAGAGTTACCTTAATGCTTAGAGCTTACCACCATTGCGATGAAAATGTAGCTGAAATCCTAATTAAGTGTGCTTATTTGTGACAACTGATAGTTTCAATTATATGCTTTGAATCTTCTGATTAAAGAATCTTGATGGCAGAATAATTTACTGCTAGTGGTTATCATAACTCATAATGCCTTGAAACCATTTCCTTGTTGATAAAAGTCTTTGATGGACTAAGTATCCACCTTTTTACATATCAAAATTTTACAAGTCACTTTAGTCGAGATGTTTTTTTTCTAATCGTTCATATCTTTTTTATTTTTATTGGTGCATAGAAATAGGAAAACATGTTTGGATCAAGAGTATATGAATAATTTATCTGCTGTTGCATTTGTTGCGCACACACAAAACAGCTTAGTTGCAGGGAATTTGAAGTTTTTTTTCCTCCCCTACTAGTTAACCTTTGTTATTATATTCAAAAACAGGATCATCATTATAATCAGCTTGCAAGTTTTAGTTGAGAAGGCCGATATGATTGGGGATCCAAAAAATTTTGATTCTGGCAACCCTATCCCACAAAACCGTGCTGCTGGTTCTGGACAGCCATCTAGCATAAACCAACCTGGTATATCCATAGAAAATGTTCAACATCATGGTAGTTCTCGAGCAAATGGTCCTGATGCTGGCCAACATGCCATTTCAGATGCTTCATTTCCCAGACAAGAGTCAGCTGTAAACAATCAATCTTATGGTGGCTCCTTTGCAGGCGGTTCTATTCCAATGAGGAACATGAATAACACAAATTCCTTGCACCCTAAAGCTGAATCTGCTTCTATGTGTTTTGCAGAATCAAACCAAATTGCTAGTATGCAGCAAAAAAGGTTCCCAGGTCCATCAAATGGCGGATTTCAACCTCCTGGTAGGGTTACGTATCAGCAACCTCCTCCTATGTATGCTAATAGAGGTCCTATTTCTAAGAACGAAGCCCCAGCTAGAATAATTCCCATTGCAGCATTGAATCCTTATCAAGGAAAGTGGACGATCAAAGCTCGGGTGACAGCTAAGGCAGACATCAGGCACTACAACAATGCAAGGGGTGAAGGAAAAGTGTTTTCTTTTGATCTCCTTGACTCCGACGGTGGAGAAATTCGTGTAACTTGTTTCAACGCGGTAGCCGACCAGTTCTATGATCAGATAGAGGTAGGACGTATTTACTTGATCTCCAAAGGTACCTTGAGACCAATTCAAAAGAGTTTCAACCATCTCAATAATGAATATGAAATCATGTTGGAGTCCGCTTCAACAATCCAGCCTTGCTTAGATGAGGACATGTCCATCCCAAGGCAGCAATTCAACTTTAGAGCCATTGGAGAAATTGAGTCCATGGAAAATAATAGTATGGTTGATGTGATTGGTATAGTCACTTCATTAATCCTGCTGGTACAATAATGAGAAAGAATGGTACTGAAACTCACAAGAGAACCCTTCAGTTGAAGGACATAAAGAGTGTTGAAATAACTCTGTGGGGGAATTTTTGCAACACAGAAGGGCAGAAGATTCAAGCTATGTGCGACTCTGGCGTATTTCCTGTATTGGCTATAAAAGCAGGCCGAGTCAGCGATTTTAGCGGAAAGTCAATCGGAACCATTTCCTCTAGCCAGCTTCTTATAGATCCTGATATCCCCGAGGCATTCCAGTTAAAGCAATGGTATGATAATGAGGGAAAGAATCATACCGCTCTTTCTATATCCAGGGAAGCTGCAGTAACTGGAAGGATGGATGTGCGAAAGACAGTTTCACAGATTAAGGATGAAGGTCTTGGAAGATCTGAGAAGCCTGACTGGATAACTGTGAAGGCCACAGTATCATTCATCAAGGTTGATAATTTCTGCTATACAGCATGCCCTTTGGTCGTGAGTGATAGACAGTGCAGCAAAAGGTCAATAACTATAGTGATGGGACATGGCATTGTGATCGATGTGATCAGAGTTTTCCGGAATGTGACTATAGATACCTACTCCAGTTTCAGATTCAGGACCACACTGGTATTACGTGGGTCACTGCTTTCCAAGAATGCGGTGAACAAATTCTTGGTATATCTGCAAAGGAACTGTACTTTCTTAAGTATGAACACCAGGATGAGCTGAAGTTTGCTGAGGTTGTGAGGAGGGTTCTCTTCAGTCAATATTTATTCAAATTGAAGGTAAAAGAGGAAACATTCAGTGATGAACAACGTGTGAAGTCGACCTCCATTAAAGCAGATAGAGTGAATCCTGCATCAGAAAGCAGGTTTCTTTTGGGTATAATTGAGAGACTTTCTGGTGAAGACGCCCCCCCATCCATGTATGGATCCTATGCTTGTGGAGCTGGAATGCCTGCTTCTGAATATTCTCATGCTGAACTTAATCACGGCAGACTATCTATGACTGATTTTGATCGTTATAAAATGGAGACTTCCAGCCAATATATGAATCAATATGGTGGAATTTCAGGTAATACTATGAGTAGAGAAGTCCCATCTTTCTGTAATAACTGTGGTTTATCCGGCCACAATTTCCAGAACTGTCCCAGGAGCTTGAACAGGGAAGCACAGTCCGTCGGTGGCGGGGGCTTCCCAAACTGGTCTTCCACCTCTGCAATGGATGGTGGAAATTCTTCAAATGTGTGTTTTAAATGCAAACAAACTGGCCACTGGGCTAGAGATTGTCCTGGACAGGGCACCATATCTTCAGGTTTTGGGGGCAGAAACATATCTTCTTCATCTGTTGGAGGGCCTCATTCACAAGCAATCTATGGCAAACAATACGTTGGAGGCTTCTAACTTGCAAAATCTCAATAGAAGGCGGATTGGTTTCATTTGGCGAAGCTCTGCTGACCAATGCTGAAGCTCGGTTCGGCTCAAATTTCAAAAGTGTCTGTAGCCCTTATACATTTTACCATATTTGCTGCATATTTTTTCTTGATTTGCTAAGTTGCAGGCTTTTCATTCTCTACTTTGTATCATATTGCATGAACTCTACCTCGAGTATTATAGTCTTCTCTGATCCTCCTTCACCTTATATATAAAGCTTTGCATCATTAAGTTTATGGTGGTTGGTTAGTTTAGAACAAGTATTGCATGCAAATGAAATGTTCTGAATCTTTTATCAATATAAATGCATTCATAAATATTGTAATAAAAAGAGTGTAAATGAAAACTTGGGTTTGACTGCAGGGGTGTAACTCGAGATAAGTACGTTGGAGAGTTCAGATTTCATAATAATCAAGTCAAAAGTCAAAGTCTAAAAGTCAAATTTGAGCTAATCTTCACACAACTAGTTGTTAATTCGTAGGCTAGTTTCCTTGAAAAATCTTGTTCATGTTCTTGTTAAAATTTAAAAAAAATTATATTATTATTATTATTATTATTATTATTATTATTATCATTTTGAAATTTGAGTCTTAAAGTTAATTTGGGAAGTGTGTATTAATGTGATTGAACACGATTCACAAGTTAGGAGAGAACAAATTCTCCCATTCAATCTATCAGCTCATTGTTGTTGAATTCTTTTAGCTTGTTGGGTTTTGTATTGTTCGTTAGTTCACATAATTTGTGAGAGACATGGGAGAGAAAGGTGGAGGAAGATAATGGATGTCTTCATGTGTGAATCACGTGTTTGTTTTTTGATTCTTCTCTGATGGAGTATAGAGAATGATCTAGTAAGAGAGGGAGTTACAAAGATTTTGTGTGACTCGCTGCATAGAATCCCCTGAAAAATACTTTGAGAGTCAAAACCCTCTCAAATTATTTTCTACTGCTTTTGTATATGTTTAAGAAAAAAAATTAAGATTTAAGTCGTAAAAAGTCTATTCATGATATATTGATGAAAAGAACTCGATATGTATGTTAGGTGGTCTCATAATGAGGATGTGTCATATGTCTATCATTAATGTCGGTCTTAGACTTTTGTGTTTTGATAGTTTTGAGGATTGCTGAGGAGTCAAGTTAGGCTAGTGAGCTTGATTGGTGAGTTCATCAAAGGAACAAACATACTAAATCACCGAGCCAACTCTCAAGTTACTGTTGCAGGTTGGCTTGACAGCTAGTGGAAGACAGCTGATGCATCGATAAATAAGGTAAGCAGGTCACCTTGGGGGATCACTCCGGTGATTGTCGTGTCTTCTAAATATTTTGACTAATTCAGCTCACGAAGCCTGCTAGATGATGGTTTTGGGCCATAAAGATTGATTTTTATAGTACAATCACATTGATCAATTGCTAAAATAAAATGTTTATTATTTTATTTTTCTAATTTTCAATTTTTTTTATTATTCTATCATAATAATAACTAGGATCAAAATTATTTTCCTTCACAACAAACAAACAAATAAATTCATGAACCCAAATTCACAAAATTAAGGCTTCGTTCGAAAGCTCCTTTGAAAGTGGTGATGATAGAAATGGAGAATGCCACCTATGATCTAAAACGCTGGATAATTATCGTTCTTACAAAATAACTTTGACCAAAATTTAGTAGACGAACCTTTTTCATAAGGTAAAGCTCTTCTGGTCACACTTCTATATGGTTATGGGATTATAAAACATTTTGTACTTATTGGATAAAATAAATATTAAAATAAGTGGGAAATCCCTCAAAAATACTGTAATGCCCAATTTGACCAGCCATTGGCCGGCCAATGAAGAATAAATATAAATATATAATTTATTTCTTAAAAAATAGGATGATGATCTCATTTGAAGCCGATTTTGCGTTATCCAAATATTTTCATCCGAACTTTTCAAATTAATTTGCCAAAAAAACTAATAAAAATAAAAATAAAAAGTCGCGCCCACCGTGGGGCTCGAACAACCCACGACCACAAGGTTAAGAGCCTTGCGCTCTACCTACTGAGCTAGACGGGCTTTATGTGTATTTTCTTTCAACAGTTTTTTATAAATAATTAATATTTAATATGGTCTTTTGTTAAGTAATTCTAGATTAATTAATAACAAAACATGTTAATTACTGACCAATTATAAAATATACACAATATCAATTATAAATCTTAATGCATATTAGAAATTAAAAATTTCAGTCTAAATAATCTAATCAAAATTTTTAATGAGACAAATCAAACGCACTCAATGTTATTTAATTTTAACATCCTTAGGTCACTCAAAACATTAAAAAAAATTGCTTATAATTAAACAGATTACTCTATGATATCTAACATATTATTATGACAATGTATCGTTCTCAAAACCTACAAATAGATCACTACTCCAGCTCAAAGATGTAAGGATTTTTTGAGTTATATTTTACAATTGCTAATATCTGTCGTCTCATCATTTCTTTCATCAAATTGTTGTCGTCTGACCATCATGATTGAACTGTCGTTGCATGAAAAATTGTTGCCTAACTACGATCACATGATCATCATTGCTCGATTATGATTGTCTCATGATTATCACTTTGCTTTATTCCCCCTACCTCTATTGATTTATTGTAGTCATTTGATCCCCAGTGCGCTGTTGGGCTTGGAGGCTTTGCCCCATTGTTCTAATCTATGTATTTACATACATATAGCACCTATACTTCAATTTTCTTACATTGTTGAATCAAGATCTATCTTGTGAATCTCACCTAATAAATAGAGCATAAACTATAAGAGAGAGAGAGAGAGAGAAAGAGAAATTGAAATAGAGCACATAATAAGACTTTGGCCTTATAAAGGTGACTGATTAACCGCTTATTGTAGGAGTGACCCCTTATTTATAGGTAAGGGGGTATAAAGTAAAAAAAAAATTACATTGTTGCTCTTGCTTTCATGAGGGTGTTACATGATATTTTGGGCATAAAATAAGGTAGCATATGGTTTGATTATCTTATTGTTCAATGGACAAGGATTTCTAATCTCTGGTTCGGCCAAGTACATTCGATCAAGTTTGTTGAGTTAGGGTAATCGTTGGCCTTGGCGGTCCTTCGGTCGTCTGAATTTCGCTTGGTCATCTTGACTTCATTTAGTTGGCCTAGGTTCGTCAGTCAGTGGTCTGGGTCTAATTGTTGATTGTTGATCCTTATATGGGAAACACGTGCTGCTGGGGAAGAACTAGGCTATCAGACAAGAGGTGAATCTCCGTAATCTGACATGTAGCTTACCCCTTTGACAAGAGATTCGTCTGGAGGGCTCGATGAATATTTGGTGATGAGAACCTCTGGCCTCCTGAAAAGTCTTCGAGTCTCTTACAAGGTGTCTAATGGTACTTAGGCGAGAGTTGAACTAGTTGCTTCCCTCAGTTAGGTAGGACTTGATCCTTGATTATCGGACAACCTTCGTTCGGTCGAACCCGAGTCTTGTTCTAAGGGAGCTTTAGTTGGTCAACGGGATCCTTCAATATCATGCCTGTTCCTTTTAATTGGTTATTTTTTACCGTACTTTTGTCTTGTAATCCATCAAATTTATTCAAGATTCATATTGATTCATTTTTAACATGCATACATATATACATCATCTTAATTATGCATGAAAATGTAAATTTTACTTTTTTAAAGTTAAAATAGTGATATTTTTAATCTGATACCAAAGTTTTTTAGGTGCTATAAATATAAAAATTTATATGGGTTAGATATGTAAATATATTGGAATGAGCATGCATATAAATAGACCCACACCTCTTGCAGCCCATATGATCCATTAAAGTGTTCAATGGAGGATCGTAAGCTTCCAAAAAACATCTCATGACAACAATGAGTTAGAGCCTAGATGTGAACGGCGGTTTATGAGAGAGAACTCTAGGGAGAGGGAGAGGGAGAGAGAGAGGGAAAGAATCCTAGAGATAGATAGAGAGAAATAGAATCCTAGAGATAGAAAGAGAGAGAGAGAGAATGTGGAGATTGACATAACTATCTTCTTCAACGCCTTTGTTTCTGGGCAGGCTTGAAAGTCAAATTAATACAATAAGGTATTCAATGCAGCTAACATGCCACCAAGAAACTACAAATCATAAAAGCTTTTAATTTGGTCCCCACACCCACAAAAATCTCTATAAAAAAGAAAAATTTACAAACATACCACACAATTCTTATATTTGTATACACAACCCTCAAACTTTTGATATCACATCAAAAACATCAATCACTAACATATTTTTTACAAGCTAAGTACATCTTCCCATACATATGTTCTTAAATCAATGCATTATATATGTAAATATGAGTTCTTAGGTGTTTGATATGCAAATTCATATGAATTGTGTGGTATATATGTAAATTTCAAAAAAAAAAGTGGTATATATGTAAATTTCAGACTGAAAGTAAAAAAAAAAAAAAAACAAAGTATGGAATAGGACTGAAAGTAGAATTCATGCATTCATCCTTTTCCAATATAGTAGGTTTCTATCATTTTCAACACACTTATTATGCTCCATATCATACTTTATGATAAAATATCCTTTCTAACATATAACTACTTGTATCTATCCATCTATTTATCTATCTACCTATCTATCTATAAATATATGATTATCAAATTAATTTATTTTTCATTTAAAAACAACAAAGTTATTTGTCAATAGGGTTTAGTCTAATTTAAGATTATGTTAATTATTTATCAAAAAAGAAAAAAAAAAGAAAAAAAAAGGCTATCGGATATAAGTTTGAAGACGAGCTTAAAAACTTATTTCTTCGTATATTTCATAGATTTAAATGATCAAATATATTGTTATTTTGACCCTCAATTATTGAACTAAGGTAAAAGGACAATTTTTTAATGTGGCATCGCTCACCTACCACCCTACCACATCTCACCTACCGCTACCTACCGCTCACCTACCATTCTCTTGCTTCTATAAATAGAGAGAGTGTGAGGCCTAGGAGATTAAAGGAAGAGATCTTAAGCTGTCACAAAGGAGGAGAGAATAGCTATAAAGCTAGAGAGGAGGAGAACATCTTGAGGTCTTGTATCAATGTGTTGCTTGAGAGGGAGGCCATAGAAGGAAGATGAGGGCTCATCTCTATGTATAAGCTATGCGTTCTCCATTTCTTTTGTCTTAGTGAACTATTTGATTGATTCCCTTCCGTGGACGTAGATCCAGTTGGATCGAACCACGTAAACGATTTGTGTTTGCTTGTGTTCTTTTTCGTCTCATTTCTATGCCAGGAAGTACATATCTCACAACATATATTATAAATGTAATAAATAAACCCTAAATGTAATTTAGGAGAGAAATAAATTTGGTCACATGAGAATAGTGTTTGGTGCAATTCATCATTTCTTTTTACAAATTAAAATCCGGAGATTAAATTAAAATGAAATGAATAAAAAAAAATTAGAAATATTAAATGCTAGTAAAAAAAAATCTTAAATTTGTATTAAAAATCAACACATACATAAATAAAAGAAAATTGTGATTAATATAAAAAAAATTTATAATTACACTTATGTCCTCTGATTTGGGGTCATTTGGAGCAAATGGGATTGCTTTGCATATTGTTAAGTTCATCTTATCAAAATGTTAATGTTTGCTAACATTAAAATTTTCATGATTACAATTTTTTTTTAAAGTTTTTTTAATAGAAAATTATATCTAGATTTGTCTCTAAATGAGTGAATTTACATGTGATGTTCGCATGACAATTTTACATAATTTTTTTTTAATTCTATGATGTAATATTCCAATTTGATGGAGTATATGCAAGTTAAATCTAAATACATCTTGCATTTAACACACTATTTTGGTTTTATTGCTCCCTACATGATTGTAATTGTAATTATAACTATGTGCTTACTCTAATTAAGCATATACATGTCTAATATTTAAATACATAGTGCACAATTTTATACATATACATATATAATACTTAAACATTCGTATTTATATGCATAACACTCAATCCTTTCATTACATAAAAAATACCATGGACATTACCTTTTTTTTAAGTGAAATGGAGTTTCTTTATGCTTAGGCTCATCATACTAATGTGTTATAATTATAAATATCAAATTTTGGGGTATTAGATATATAAATATATCTAAATTTTGTGATATTTATGTACATTTCCCTATGGAATATGTGTCCATTTCAAAGAAAAAAAGAGAGAATTTTCCCTGATTGATCCAAGTGAATTTAATTTCTAGAGGGGAACCTACTTCAAATTAACTTTCACATAAAAATAGTTATAGATTTCATTAATAATTCAATAAATTCTATTGAAGCTGATGAACATGTAAATTAACAAACTTAGCAATGAAATAATAATTAACATAAGCTATTAATTTATCAGAAGGCCTTTTAACATTAAAACAAAATGGTCATTGTGAGACTAAATCATACTTTATGAAGATTTGGAATATGTGTGTGTGTGTCTGTGTCTGTGTGTATTGTTGTGCGCCTGAAGATTTGAGGTGCTAGAATAGTATTGTAATGTCTAAGCATTTCAGGGAGGCCATCTCACACAAATAATAGAAAATAGCAGGATGAAACACTAATATTTTTTATGTAGAAAACCTTAGAAAAAACAAAAACCATTGGGTCTAACACAGTCAAAGTAATCCACTATGCAACAACGACAACAACAACAGCAACAGCAAATCCTTAATCCCACTACGTTGGGTCAGCTACATGAATCATTTTTCTCCATCGCGTCCTATTGACTGTCATATTTTCATTTAGTTTTAATAAATTAAGATCATTTTTTATGTGATTATAAAAACATTGGTCAACTCATCTCCTTAATTAGAGAAGATAGAATTACAAAGCTGATAATCGTATATGTACAATAGCAATTCAACAATAATTTCCATAATGGACAACATCTTATATATTTTCTACTATAATAATAATAATTGGTCTCAAATTTTATACTTGAAAATTATAATAATAATAATTGGTCGCAAATGTCGCACTTAGTGGCTACAATTAGTGTGAGTTGGTCATATATGTCGTAGAAGAAATTTGTTGTAGTAATTGGCCCTATGGTCATAATTGGAGGCTGCAATGGTCAATTGATTACAGAAGTTATAGTTAGAACTTATAGTAATAGTTGGCCATATAAACTATCCTTGGGTGCTATAATAGTGTTATTTGGCCAAAAAGATCATTGTTGAAAGCTGTAGTAGTAGGTGGTCACATTGGCCTTAATTGGCGGCTATAATTGCGTCAGTTGGCCACAATGGTCGTAATGATAAGCTACAATAATAGTCGACCATATAGGTCGTACTTTGGGGCTACAATTGCTTCAGTTGACCGCATACGTTGTAGTTGCTAGCTGTAGTGGTAGTAGTTGTTCACATAGGCTATAGCCGGTGACTGGAACTCTTCTCTCAAAATATGATTATAATTTTACATTGAACACTAGACTATAATTGGTGACTAGACCCCTTCTCTCTCAGAACGGGGTTATAGTTTTACACTAGACACTGCAATTGTTAGCATCCATCATAAAAAAAGATTATTGTATTCGAGCTATGATGGTCTTAAGCAGTGGTTGACGGTAGTCGATGGTAGATAGTGACAGGTGGCAATAGACGGTGATGGTTGACAGTGGTCGATGATTACAAATGTCAATGATTATAGTTGGGTTTTCAATACAACGTTATATGTTACAATTATTGTATCAACCAACTACAACTATTGTAGTCTGACCATTGTAGTCAACTACAACTGTTATAACCTCCAACTAGATATGTTATAGCTAACTATTGCTATGTTATAACCTACAACTAATAGCTAATTAGTACTACTGTCGGCAGCAACTATAATTTTTGCGACCCAAATATGACTACCATAGGCAAACGACTATTACAATGTTGTAATAATTAGTTTTTTTAATCACATCCTTCCTGATTTACGAGAAGAGTTGACTCATGCACTTCAATTTCTTTGTGAATTACTTTGATTGGACTAAGCCATGTGATTTTTTTTTCCTTCCAAGATTTTTTCACGTAAAAGATTAAAGTTTTCTTTTGCTTCACTATCTGTGTGCACGTAAAAATTATACCAAGTTAAGACATAAAAAGTCTTTTAACATTTAGAACCTTAAAATACAGACAAATTTAATTCACATCACAACTAATAACTTATAGCAAAAGTATTTGATATGTACACTGTTTATTTATTTATTTATTTTCATTCGAGCATATCCATATTTATCACATGCCAATCCGCCTATTCTATGACTTGGACGTAGAATGCATAAATAAAAAATGAAAATAATATTAAACTAATTAGGCCTTAAGAATTGCACGAGAGCTTGTTAATACGTGGTCAAAAAAAGCATATATGTGACGCATAATATTTAAATGTTTTAACATTTCCTTGCATTGATGATGTCCAAAGTTGAGCCAACAACTTTTTAATATTAGTGGACGCTTATTGCTAAACGTGTCATTATAATTACCATTAACAGATCAAGGTGGAGTATTTGATGAAGCTTAAGAGACATGCTTAAGGCCTCGTTTGAGAAGACAGTGAAGTTTCTTTTCGTGACAGTGAAGGCCGATGCGTGAATTTGCTTTTGTTTGATAAAGTAATGTGTTTCTATGGAACGGAAATTTTTTAATCATTTTAGATCGCATATGACTATGTCTGCTCAACGGATGTGATTTTTAAAAAGCTTCGTTGAACTTCAAAGCTCTTTTAAACAAGCCATAAGACTTATCAAATATCAGTCATTAGATTCTCAAGTCATAATTAGTTTGATAATGATTCATTGGACTATTCTACATGGAGACTTATATATAATTCCTCTCTTTCATAACCTATAAATTATGTGATTCTTGTTGATTTAGAAGATTTCAGTAAAAAGTGCTAAAAATTCTTTAATTTGTAATCTTAAACAACAGTTTTACGCTCTCAAATTAACTAAGAACAAATAATTAAATAATTTTTAACCATTATTATCATTTAGAGTGCCACTTAGTTACCCCTGATATTCTTTTACCTATGTTATGTCGCTCCTAATAATCTCCAAACCCCTAAAGAAGAGGGATTAATCCCACAATCTCTAGTGACACGATTGATTTATATTTGGCTCTATATTCTTTATTTTAAAGAAGGATTATCCATTTAGGTAAATAGCATTTTGACAGCTTTTTCATAAAGTTACTGTTGAAATCTGTGTTTTCCCAACACTCACGACTATGTGTGCTGGCGGCAGTTAAAAAGTTGAGGCCTGATTAAATTTTTTTAAAAATATATTCAAACCAAATTTGAATCATCATAAGATTATATTCAAATAAAGTTCAAACAATATTCAAAACAATATCTAATCTTGCATGAATTTTGCTTGAACCTTGATTGAATACTGGCCAACATTGCATGGATTTATTAAATCATTATTTCAATGTTTCAGACAAATTTTAATCGAGTTTGGTGTTGATAATTATGTATAATTTTAACGCTTAATTAGCAACCTAATCGTTTCTCTAATCATGATTAATTAAGACTTAATGCAAAGGATAACCGCTGACCAAATTTTCTTCGGCCTTAATCATCTCTTCCCTAACCATTAACTTCTCTCACCTGTTAACTGAACAACCGCTGACCAACTGTCATTATAGTTTGATAAATATGAGTAAAGTCACCCACCACGCAGCAGCTCTGTCCGCTGCCAATCAATTCATTCATCCTAAATTAAAGCTCCACCCCTTTCTATTTTCATGATAGAATATAACTTCATCTAACTTATATAATAATTTAGGAAAATTTACATATGTATCATTTAATTCTTATGTATTTAGGTATCTAGTACCTAAAGTTTGATATTTTTTTTACTTATAAGACCTTATCTGATAAGTTTATGTATGAAAAAGATGTATCGAAAAAGATGTATCTCACCTTATGTAAATATTAAATTTGATAATTTTTTATATGATGTACTTAAAGATTTGAGTGTTGTTCATGTAAATATGAATGTTAAGGTCTTACACATATGTAAATACATAAATATTGTGTGGAATGTATGTAAATGCCCCATAAAAAATAGGTTGACTAATTTGCTTTAATTTGACTCTCTATCTCTCATATTTGCTCTCTAAGTGCCTAATTAAGTCTTCTAAATCTCTGATTATTTGTACCTAATATTTGGGCTAAATCTTCTACTCTCTTCTCCTTTAATTTGCATCATTACTTAAAATAAAATGTTGATATTTTGCATAAATATTTTTGAATGAAAATTAGTTATGTAATGTGCTTGAATGCATTAGTTGAAAATAAACTGAAGAATCTCAATGTGTCAAACTCTATCGCTCATCATGTTGGGAGTTGTTAAATTGCGAAACTAATTAGATAGATTTGAAACAAAATTTTAAATATAAACACACCAAACAAAAATTATAAAAAAATAGAAGATTTAATATGAGAATACTTGACAATTAAAAAAATTAATGAGCTATACTGCATCATGAAACTCACTGAAAAAAATGAGGTGACACATACAAATTACAATACATTCAATCATCTACACTTTTGAACACTTCAAAACACTCATCTCCTTTCTTTTGCATAAGAGAATTTAAAATCCATCACACCCAATCAACAAAACAAAATAGGCACCATAAGCCAAGCTCAAAATCAAGTACAAGCATCAGGGCACTATGATACTCCAATATGCATTAGAGAGCCGTAGTGTCATGCTATTAGGTTCTGAAACTATACTAGATGTGACGACGAGTGCTTGAGCACTATAGACATGGTGCTAAGAGTAGTGAATATAGGGGGGCATTGCCCCCTCGTGCCTCCGGACAACTCATTATTAAGCTCAAATAACGAAATTGAGAGCTCCTACACATAATAACAAATGATGCTCGGAAACAAAAATATGTAATTGCCTAATGATAACTAATCTCTTAATCACCATGAATGAACACAAAGTCAGTTATTGTAATTGTAAGTTTTTGAATACAAAGCATGTAAAATAACCCTCCATTCTAAAATATTGATCTTTGGTTACATCCTCCGGGTTAGTTATCTGAAAATATTATTTACATCACCTACAACAAGTCAAATGTATGAAGACGAACGATCCGACAGACTTTGATCGGTTGATCGTCTCATCCCTCGCAACCCCAAATCCACATAGCTTAACCAAAGCTCCTGGTTAAAAAAAAATACACGTTTCCAAAACTTAAATCGCTGAGAAGCTGTGCGCTGTTCTAAAGCATCTACCAATATGCTCACTGAGCCGGCCATCGAGTTTTTTTTTTTCTGTTTTCCACGGTTCAGTTTCGGACGATGCCCCCGTGCGTTTATCAAAGTCCAACCTTACCCTGGCGGTCAACCACTCACCTGGCTCGCAAAGAAACTATTGCATGAAGCCGCTTCTCCACGTGGAGTACTGCCATCGCATCATCTAAATCATTGATGGTATGGACGGCTGATATTTTAGGTGAGCTGCACCTGGTTCATCGAATAATTACATGGCACGGCTCCCTAGGAGCTCACCGGTGGTGCCGACCATTAGGAGATGTTGACTTTGTGCACCTTTTTGCTTTACGCACCCTTTAGTTTTTGAAATTTAGATTGGAAGCTCAATAAATGCGAAGTACTCCCTGAAAAAGTTGGCTGAACCAGAGCGGATGGTTAGTGAACCCAACCCCGGTCAACCCCAAAACTTAATTGTTTTCGCTAAAGAATTCAACCCAACTGGTCCCGCCATCCACCCACCCCACGCTCTTCTGTACCCCTGAAGTCAACTCCTCTCTTCTCCATTCTCCTCCACTGCGCACCACTCAACACTTATCACTCATCACTTTCTTTCGATTCCAGTCTCCTTTTGCAACCTGCGCGCAAATTCTCTTTTTCTCCATGGGCAACGGTATAGCCAAGATAAAAAGTTGCTGCTTTACGGGTTGCGGAGTCTCCGGCGACCTTCGCGAATCCGCCGCCGTGACGTCGGAGCCGTACGACGGTGGTTTGGGCCATACTTTTTCATACGTCCGACCAGAATCGTCCATATTTTGGTCGGGCCCCTCAAAGGTTCACCACTCGGAGGAGACCACCACCTTCGGCTCTATCTCCGGCGCCGCAGTAAGCGCCAATCCCGCCACTCCCCTCTCAACCGACATAGACGCCGGAGCCGGAGCGGCCTTTAAGAGCTCGGCCTCCTTCTCATCCGTCCCTCTGCAACCCGCCCCCCGCTTCTCCGGTTCGCTCTCTGGCCCGCTTGCCGACCGTGGGTTCCTATCGGGGCCGATTGAGAGAGCTGGATTCATGTCCGGCCCGGGGCGTTTGGCCGCCGTGGCGGCACACTCCGTCGAAGCCTTTCCCACGGCCTAGCGCTTCGCAGCCGCGCCGCTGCTTCGCTGCTTCGCAGCGTTACCACAGTTATCTCCCGTTCTATCTCAGCCCCTCTGAGAGAATCCGTTTCATCTGGAAGCAGTTCGACGCTTCAGCTGAGTTCATTCGCCGGTGGAGCTTCCGAGCGCTACCAATGGGCACAGGGTAGAGCAGGGGAGGATCGAGTTCATGTTGTGATATCAGAGGAGCACGGATGGCTATTTGTCGGAATCTATGATGGGTTTAACGGTCCTGATGCAACAGACTACCTTCTTTCTAATCTGTACTCCGCCGTGCAGCAGGAGGTGAAGGGGCTGCTATGGGTTGAAGATAAAAATGAAACTTTTGAAATCTCCTCGGATAATCAAATCGCCGGCGACAGTAAAAATGATTCCTTTCCAAATGAGATGAAAGGTTTAGTTTCACCGGAAGAAAACACAGTAGAAGGATACCAAAAGAGGAGGTCTTGGAATCCAGCGAGAAAGTCCGAGGATAATCAGAAGAGATGGAAGTACCAGTGGTTTCGGGAGAGATTAGAATTGGATCGAAGCGTTAGGAATCAATTAAGCCGATCGAGCTCCAGGGGAGCAGATACACATGCCAAAGTGCTGAAAGCTCTTTCTGTAGCATTGAAGAAGACAGAGGAAGCTTTCTTAGAAGTTGCAGACATGATAGTTTCAGAGAATCCGGAGCTGGCTCTAATGGGTTCTTGTGTGCTTGTGATGGTGATGAAAGGAGAGGATGTTTACCTCATGAACGTTGGAGATAGCCGAGCAGTTTTGGGTAAAAAGGCAGAGCCTGATATTTGGGATTCAATGAGGAATGAGAGATTGAACTTGGAGAGTATAAATGAGGAGACTTTACATGACCTTGAGAATTATGATTGTAGTGATGATCAGATGAACGGTTTGCAGAGTCTAGTTTCCCTGCAGCTTACAAAGGATCACAGCACCAGTGTTGAGGAGGTAGAATAAAAGTTTAATTTTTCTCTTAAAATTTCATTCGGTGAAATAATCTGAAGTAATGTTAATGTTTTTTTGTGTCATTCAGGAAGTTAAGAGAATAAGAAATGAGCATCCTGAGGACTCTTCTGCCATTGTAAATGATCGAGTCAAGGGATCATTGAAGGTGACGAGAGCTTTTGGGGCTGGCTTTTTGAAGCAGGTACATGCCATGCTATTGAATTTATTTTGGTTGATTCAGCTTTCAATTATTAAAAAAAATGATGTATTGATCTAATGATTCTGTAATGTTATTAGAGTGAAAAAAATATGATTTTGATTTTAGTAATTGTTGCGTTAATTTCTTTCTATAAGGAGATACTTGAAATCTTTATAACATTATTAACTGCATTTTCTTGCTGATATTTCTTTTAAAAAATCATTCTTTTCATCCTTACCACTTACTTGTTTCTTTCTTTTTGATTTTCAGCCCAAATGGAATAATGCAATTCTGGAGATGTTCAGAATTGATTACATTGGAACCTCACCATACATCACATGCAACCCTTTTCTATCTCATCATAGACTCAGCTCAAAAGATAAATTCCTGATACTTTCTTCTGATGGACTTTATCAATACTTCACAAATGAAGAAGCCGTCGCCGAGGTCGAGTTATTTATTTCGACGAATCCGGAAGGCGATCCTGCACAACATCTTGTAGAAGAAGTTCTCTTCCGCGCAGCCAAAAATGCTGGTAAGATTATAATTGCTTCATATGCAGAAGCAAAATTGTCATTTTGCTTTACAGAGTTTAATGTTAATGTTGGTTTCTAATTACATCAAAGGAAACAAAAATCAGTTTTTGAATGCATTTTTGGTGCTCTGAACACTAGTTTCTGAGTAAATCAATTTAAGGATAACTTTTATTATTATTATTTTTTTGCAAATTCATATATTGATTATACATAGTATTATAAGAGATTTCTTTGATGTTGGAAAGAAAAACATTAAGCTTTCTGAGCTTTTAAGTATTTTTGATTGTAGGTATGGATTTTTATGAGCTGCTGGAGATACCGCTTGGGGACAGAAGAAGATATCACGACGATGTCTCGATCATTATCATCTCCTTCGAGGGAAGAATATGGAGATCTTGTCATGTAAATAGAGGAAATGTAGAGGATATAGAGTTTACAGTTTTACCCAAAAATAATTATTGTTTTTAATTTTTTTTTTAAGTTATTATTGTGCTGCATAATGTTGATTTTTAAGTTTTAAGAAAATAGAGGAAGATTTAGTGTTATGATAATTGGTTCTATTATTCAGTTAAAATACCAAATTAGAGATCTCCCAAATCCTGATATTGGATATCTGCCCATTTTTCATCTATATCCTTGAATATAATTGATATTATTGTTTGAAGAGCAATCCAAAAATCCACTACTCCACAATCACACACACAATGGAATTGATGAAACAAATAACAGAGATAAGTAACACCAAATTTTTTGCGTGAAAAATCTCTAAAATAGAGCAGAACACTTAAACACATCTACTAACCAACTTAATGGGTATACAATATCGTTCTCTAGAACACTACTGGAGAAAATTAATAATCAATCTTCTCTGAGTAGGTGGTATAAACCAACTTCTTCAAAGACAAGGGTTTGGTAATCTCACCAAATTCAAGAAAAATAAGACTTTCCCAGGTTTTTGTATGTTGTTGTTTGTCGTTGCCTTACCGCTAGCTCTAGTCGCGGTTGTAGAATGATAATCGAAAGAGGAGATGGCAGCATCCCTTGGCTTTTTGTATGTTGTTGTTTGTCGTTGCCTTACCGCTAGCTCTAGTCGCGGTTGTAGAATGATAATCGAAAGAGGAGATGGCAGCATCCCTTGGCTAGGGATGCAAACAAGAGAGTGGGGGAAAGCTTGGTGTCCTTCACTAAAAGGGAGACGAGAGCACTCTTCTATATTTCTTTTTTTTTTTCTTCGAAAGGAAAAATGGGATCCAAGGCTCGTATATGTGCGATCATTCAATTTTCCAAAACCTATAATTATGGTGAATACATGGGCCCATTTGCGGAGTATTGAAGAATTCACAGGATCAACTTAAGAAGATAGAGCCAAAAGCTCGTCAGCATAATGGAATTGCGGAGAGGATCAACCACACAAATAATGACATGATTCATTGCAGGGTATCTAATTCAATATTACGAAGTCTTTTTGGGATATGAGTCTCCTTCACAAACAGAGAGGTGAGAGCGTTGTTTTGAATTTGTTCAAGACTCGTATATGTGCAATTATTTAGTTTTCCTAAACCTAAATGAAGGCAACTGCCATCAAGGAGGCATTTGGCTTAATGATGCAATGTGGTTATTTGGCCAAACAATAAGGAACAAGTTTGTGTTCAATTTTCCATTTTTAAAACAAGTTAATTGAAATTGGTGTGAATTAAGGTCTTAAATTGACCAATTAGTTTTTTAAATTAATCTATTCTGTTCACTTGGATACAGAGGGTGCGACGGTTTAAAAGATTTTTTAAATTTTATTTGCTCAATCATTCTGAAAAGATAATCTGTCCTGTCTAAAATGTTTAACTTATGTGATGCCATGTTAGGAGATTTAAAGTTTAAAATACCATTTGTTTAGTTTTAGGATCGATTTTAATAGGCGTGTAAACCTTAACGTATTAGCTTACATCCTGTTATTTCAATAGTTTATACAAGGCCGAATAAGCTACAAATTGTTAGCTAGAACAAGATTAATAATTATGATAATGATTTTACATATATATATATATATATTT